CCTAGTACCAGTATTTGAGATGATTACGCTTCAATAAACCCGCTTATTTCAGCACACTTATGCGACATTAGAGTAAAAGATTGCACAGAATTGCGCGAATAAGTTGATAAGCCATATGAAACGGGGTTGAAATAAAGGGATGCAGCATTAGAAGGTTGAACAGAAAATTTGGACGAAGAATGCTGCCACAACGATTAAATAGAAAATTTTTCAAGGGGATTGCCTTCAATTATCATTTTGTTAAGTTGTAACTCTGTGCTACCGATGGCGCCTCTCAGTGACGATGTTGACTACGATACCGGCGAAACAATTGGGAATGTACCAAGTCAATGGTGCGATGCTGGAAATCACGAATACCATGTCAGAGGACACGGGACTAGGTATGTTCTACTAGGTCTCCACTACGCTCCCACCAATTTGCGCAATCGACGTCTAACCAACGACATTAAATTTTATTTTTTTTATGTCTTCGATCCTCGACGTTTCCACAAAAGGCTCTGCCGAACGGCATTGGCGAATCTGCTATCTGTATTTGCCCCATTTGTTGGTGTGCTAGCATTTAACCATATTGCTTGATAATTATAGTCTAGACTATAAGATTTGGAACCTTATAATTTAGAGGATAGGCAACCTTGTAGCATATAAACCTTGATTACATAGCTTTCCAATTTCAGTTCAACCGTGGTTATTAAATATCATGAAATAAACCCATATTCCTAAACCAATCATAAATTCAAATTCAACAACACACATAAAAGTACCAAATATTTCTTGCTTTGCGGAGATTCAAATACTTCTTAACCACAGTATTTCTGCAAAAAATCAAAACTCAAATCATATTGTTATTCCAATGAATATTTCGATAATCTTTTTCATAATGAAACATTTCCGGAGGGATAGTCTCCTAAATCAAGAATTTTCGGATATAAGATTCTCTTGCTTAGCTAGCTTTTCGTGTTCCTATGTCTTCTTCGGGAATGGTCGTTAGCTCATAAAGCTGAAAGTAAGGTGATCCATACTGGCCCTATATGCTTCGCATGTACTTAATCTAAAGCAGAATTGCACCGCACAGAGGAGCAGCACCATCTCATTGAGGCGAATTGATCTTTCTACAAAAAATAACTTGTTAAATTGCAATATCAAATCAATCACCTGGATTATCAACCAGTCAGATTGTGTCTAAAATTTATCTTTTAAAATGCATTTCTAGTTATGCTACTAGCTCTCATGTTGCACAGGTGAAATAGTACAGGTAGATAATAAAAATGATTTGATGCATTCGGCTTGCTAATATACTTTTATTTTAAGATGATAACTCTGTGTAGAGTTATTGGCCTTATTCAAGGCTGCTTTTATTTGAGTGACCTTAATTTTCTAGGGTTTGATGTGAGAACTATGAGCATCTTAGGTATGAAGACCAAGATGTCATGGACTCTGCTCTCGTCGCAGTCTTCTTTCGCTGTAAAGAAATGGTCTGACCTCATTTTCGTAATTTGTCCTTGTTGACATGGCACCTAACTGAATGCTCCCTGTCCGAAGTTATCTATTATAATAGTTATGATACTTCCCAGCGTTGGACCATGGACTTGATACATTCCCAAATATTTCGTTTGAATTGTACTCCGCATCATCAACGAGTCTTGCCATTCTACAACTTGCCAAAAAGACAAATGAAGACAATCGCAAGACCAACTTTCCTCTGAACGGTTATGCTATCACTACTCTTTCTGTCCTGGCCCATCTATCTTTTCCCCGTTAGCGTATCTCACTCTCACAACTTTTGACTTGCTTGTATTCGACTAGTCTGAATTGGGCCCCTTTTGGCCAGTTTATGAACGCGCTATCACATCTGCTGTTTACCTTTCCGCCTGCTCTCTTGATTTGCTGGAAGTACTGATCTGACTTGTGCCCAACCAAATCTTCCTTATAGTATCCAAGAGTAGTTGCTTAACTTATTAGGCGATGGATTCCACTCGGTTTCAGTCACAGTATACGTTTTCCTACAGGCGCCATTTCCCGTTATATGACATAAGTATTTGGTAGCAAAGAAACTGTAGCCTCACCTAGCAGACAGGTTGCAGATATCAAGTATTGTGGCCACGACTCATCTTTGTAACCTGAGCAAACTTTTAAAGTCTATCTCTGGTATTCTGCTGTATCTTGAGTTGATTTCTAGTCAGTTTGGTTCTCATCAACAAGTAATAGTATTAACTTCCGTTTACCTATTTCTATGATCGTCAAGCCATCAAAATTCTAGTTGTTCGTAGATATGAAGACCAAGATGGTGTGGCCGTCTGTTTGGTCGCTGTCCCCTTTAAACATATAGTGTTGGTTAGACCTCGTCGGAGCGTCAGTGAGACCTTGTGGAACGTACCGAGTCCTTTGTCCTCTGCCATAATATTTGTGATTTCCATCATTGGACTATTGGCTTAGTACATTCCCAAGAGTTTCACCGGCATCGTAATCGAAATCGCTAGCACAGAGTTACAACTGATTAAAATGGCAATTGATGGAAATCCCTTTGAATAATTTTAAGTTCAATCGTTGTGACACCACTCCTTGGCCTAATTTTATGTTAAACATTCTGGTGCTGCATTCTTTCCTTCAACCCCATTTCATATTGCCCATCTACTTATTCGTGTAATTCTGGCTCTCGTTTCCTCCAATGTCGCCTAAGTGTGCTGAAATAAGCGGGTTCATTGAAGCACAATCATCTACACCACCGGTACTAGGTGCCGTTTTTAGGGCACCGGAACTACAACCTGCCCACTTTCGCCTACCCCGCTGGTAAATAGGTCAATGCTAAACATCAACCTCACTGTCTTAATGGTCAAGCATGCCACGAGTCGCCTACCCTTAAGGCATACAAACACACACAGGCACACCCTGGTCTCCTATATCTGGTCCACCTATACCCTTAGCATTTAATTTCTCATCCCACATCCCACAGATAGACCCCTCGCCCCAAGCAAATTTTTGCACAATTCCTGCTTTGACTCTCCTCACTACAATCGCCTTTTCTTGACTTCCATTTGCCCTTCATGAGCCGCTCTTTGGCGATGTCTCTTCTCGTTGTTAAACCGTTATCCTGGGCCAAATGGTGCTATTTTTTATCTATTTGTTGAATACCCTTGTCTGCCCATACTCTACATGAAATTGTCGGTGCCTCTTCCTCCTAATTTTCTCTTCATCAGGTTTCTTTGAAAGAGGATATCCACAGCTTCCGTGATCTTCCGTTTTCTAGCGTTCTCTCAAATATGAGGCCAATCATTCCGTTGCACTCTAGTCACCGGTAAGAGCGATGCGTTAATCCATTTCAGAGGATATTCACAGCCTCCGTGATCTTCCGTTTTATGGCGTTCTCCAAATATGAGGCCAGTCTTTCCGTTGAACTCTAGTCAAGTGTATTGCCGGTAAGAGCGATGTGTTAATCCATTTTTCTCAAGTGTTCCTTCACCTTTGTGCTGGTTATTCTTCCTTCTTTCCGATGCATTTTTGTTAATAGTCCTTGCAGTTTATGCTGTAAACTTCGAAGCACTTCATTTTGTTGACTTCTTAATGCCGGTTAGGTAAGCTGATGAAGAGTGTTGTCCTTTCCTTCAGGATCTTACATAGTATCAGAAGCAGATTCCGTTCCAATTCGCAGGAGAGTAGACATATCCATCGTTTTTCCTGTGTTCCTCTTGCATTTCTTTCATAATCTTCCTCCTATGTGTTCCTCACAACGTATGCTCCGTTGAAATGCTCATTGTATATTTCCATTTCAGAGAATCATTCTAGTTAGATTTTTTTATTTCCACTTCCCAGAATTCAGAACTCCTTTACTTTTTTTTAATTTGAGGCAGATAAATTTGGCTAATTTATATTTTGATCCATGTTTGTTGTTGACTATTATTCTTAAAGAATCTCCTTCTTTGTGTACCTTCGGCAAACCGTATGCTACTAGGGCTTTTGTATCCTTTCGTATGATTGAATTCATTGTCCATTTGTTGATGCTCTTATATTCATTTCCTTCACCATTTGTTGCAATCCCCATTTGATTTTAATTGTTTTTTCTCCTAGTTGTTCGCTTGAGCAACCTCACTTAGTTATAACTTCTTATCTTTATTCCTCAATATTACTCATTCGCTTCTTCTTTGCTATCTCTTTTTCTTTCGTTAACGATGGGTCTATGATCACGGAATCTCCTTTTTGCTGGTTTCGTCGTATTCTTGTTTCTTCTGAGATTTCTTAGTTAATAGGCAAAGTTATCGCTAGCTCTATATCCTCTAGATCCGATTTTTGTACCAAAGTTGCCAATGTTCTCACTAAACTTCTATTTTCTAATTATTTCACCGTATGATACCATTCTTTTGTTGCCTTCCAATTTAACTCGTGTCTAATCTGGGCAATATCTTCCTCTTTACTGATCACTCGGTACCCATTTTTACCATTTTTATATTCCTTACATCCAATGTTGATTTATCTTCCTGTTTTACCAATATATTTATGTTTGACGTGGATAATTTAATTTCGAAAGAAAGAGATTTGTAGGTAAATCTCATCATGTGCTTCCATATGAAATGAAAGTCTTCACATCAATCTTATCTCAGAAGATTCTTTGAAACCCGGATTTTTTCGTATGTAGTTATGCTTGCAGCCGCCGCATGCTATGCAGTAAACTCCCAAGCAATCAAATTTGTCTACCCTCTAATATTGCGCGGGTAAACTTGTAAAGAGTGTTGTTTTTTTCTTCGGGATCACCTAAATACTTAATTTTCTTTATATTGGTTGTAGTTTTTGAGTTATTTCGCGGAAGGCTAGGCATATTCACTTTTGTTTCTATCCATCCTTATATAGTTTTCATAATCCACATCCTGCCACCGATATTTTACAGCCCGTATGTCTCATTGTATTATTTCTCTCGGAAATTCATTGCCGAGGAACATCCGAGTCAACTTGTCTAATTCTCCACCACAGAATTCCACGTCCGTTTATTGAAGGCTTATGAGGATCATGCCATGAGTAGCATGCCCATTAGACTGTAGTTTTGATAAGACTGGAAATTTAGCCGATATTAAGGAATATGGCTTCCTTCTAAACATTCTTCTCTTAAGTGTCTCATGACTTCAACATTAAGGTAAGGTAACAAATTCTCTTTATCTATCTCCATTGTGAATTTGATTCTTTCATCAACCTGGTTTAGAAATTTCTGGAAATCGTTAACTTATTCAGATATTGCATAAGCAGTCTTGGTTACAGCAGTGACATCTTGTAGTTCTCTTCTAATTTGTTCATGTCCACATTTGCCAATAGAGGTGAGAGGAGCGATCCCATAGGAAATCCAAATTTCTATTCATAGATGTTAGCGTTGGATGTGAAAAAAGTACTCCTTGTTGTCAAGTTTATTAATTGTGTTAACGATGCCCTCCTGATCCTCTCTGCTTCCAGGATATCATCCTCTCGGTCCAATATCTTCAGCAATGCTGTAGGCGCCTTTTATCCAGAGTTGTTCGTGCACATAGATTGTATATCAAAACTTCCCACAAATTGTGTTCCTTCCAGTGTCATTTTTTTATTCCTTTGGGAAAATTCAT